AGATTCCAGTCCTGATCATCGTCGTCGGTGAAGTCGTGGCACGGGCTAAATGGGTTGTTGTTGGTGAACGCGCCAATGGGGTGCGGTGCCGGCTCAGGTGAAGGTGAGCGCACGCGGCGACGACGCGATTCGCCTGTCATGGCCATGTTGCTCATGACATTGCGAACTGGGGCAGTCGATGAAGGCTACTGCTGCTGCTGATGCTGAACCGCTGGGTTCAGGTTGCGCGCGGGTGGGGGTTGATACCCCTGGGCTGGACGCACGTCGCCTCGTGCGTCTTGACGGCCGGACCAGGTGCTCGGGTTGATCTGGCGAGGACGAGATCGGTGCTTGCAGCGATCCGCCAAATACCCGAAGTTTCTGCAGATTTTGCCGTAGAGGCGCCGTGGCTTTCGCTCTTCGGTATTGTCGACGTAGAAGGCGAGCCGTTCGCGTTCTCGTCGCGGCGCAGGTCGCTGCTGATCCATATCCCTCTGTTCGACGAGAAGGGCGGCGCAAAGGGCGGCCTCCGAGATGACCCCCTGCTGTCGGAGAAGCGCCTTGCAGGGCCGCCACTCTGGGCCGAGCCCTTGAAGCACGATGTTGACGAAGATTTCTTCCGAAATCGAGCTTCCCAGCTTCACGATTTGATCGCGAAGGCTCCGACAGCGATTAAGGTAGTTGTTGACCTTCTCCCCTGCGGTCATCTTAGTTTCCAGGAGTTCCTGGAGTAGTCGGCTCGAAGAGACGGAGTCCTTGGGCTGGTAGACTCCCGTCAGGTGGCGCTAGGCGTTCAGGGCTGGAGCAGCCGAGGTCTGGTACGAACGAATGTTGAGTTGCTCCGCCGGCGACATGTTTCGCAGGAGCACCCCGTACGCCATCAGTGATTCGTTGTAATACCTCGCCTTGGCGTCGTCGGTGTCCTCAGCAGGCTCCGCGTAGCTCCCGTCGAAGTAATGGAAGATTTGGGCGTTCTGCAGCAGGAGCTCCAACTCGAAGCTCCAGGTATAGAAGTCTCTGCCGTCAAAACAGGTACTTGTCTTTATTTTTGATATGCTGAGAAACCTTGATTGAGCGGAGAGAATTGCCTCTTCACTGGGACGGGGAGTCTTGGGGGTTGAGCCATTGGTGTCGAGGGAGAATGTTTGCGGGGTGGCGTTCTGGCCAGTCGGGGCCGGTTGAGAGGGTTGCGAGGATGTTCCCGCATCGCCATTCCGCAATGTTTGGAGCCCTTGCTCCAGGCTGGTGAGTCGCTGAAGCAGTTGTGCGAGTACTTCGGAGCCGATTGTCGTCGTGTTCTTGCTTGTTGCAGCCGGGTTGGGTTGCGCTTCAGCCGTCAGATTGGTCTGACCACCAGATCCTCCGGCCATCTTCACTCGTGAGCGTGTGCCGGACGCCACTTTCCGAATGTCGCAATTTTCGGGAGTGGCAGTGCGAAGGATTCCCGAGCGACTCTGATACCATGCTGCGATCAGAAGTTGATCGTAGCCCAGGATCTACTCAGGAAGGTTCGCACGCAGTAAGGTAGTGTTGGTGGGCCCTTGACCTCAATAGCAGAGTGAATGTAAAATGCTTTGAGATAATAAAAACATGCAAATACATCGATATAAATAAGAGTACAGGGAATACGAAACGACCTAACTAGCCATGTACTCTAAGGGGTACATTCCCTTATTCAAATTCATCCCCAACCGTGCGGCGCGTACAGTTTCGTAACTGTTCCCGCCAAAACCATCCTGCCTGCAGCTGCTCGATGCCGTCTGCTCCGACGGTCCAGATGTGCTGTAACCGTCTGACCCTTCAGTTCGATTCCAACTGCTGACGCTTCGCGTTCGTTCCCGATACTGCGTGCTTCTTTTTGCTGCGGTGGGGAGTGCACAGTAATATCAAATATTACTATTTGTAACAATACCGTGGGAACCGCGATCTATTTTATTATTACCACAGATTTCAATAGAAATCTAGTTATGCTTAGTTGATCGCAAATTCTGCCCTGCCCGCGGGCAAAAATAAAACCCCTATAGGAAATGCACACGTTAGGGATGCATCAACCCTAAACACTTAGAGGCAAGGTGTTTAGGGTTGATGCCTCCCTAACGCATGCCAGACCCGAATGGATTATATTTTTGCCCACGGGCAGCTCATACAGAACTTAACTAAACTTCTTTTGAAATTTGTGGTAACAATAAAACAAATCGCGGTTCCCGCGATCGAAAGCATGCCACGTGGCAAAATAAAACAAACCACGATTTCGCGGAATCGAGCAAAACTCTCGGCGGTACCGTATTCGCCACCGAGCGAGATTCCATGCCGGAGTTATTTGATGCTGAAACTAGAATCGAACCTTTTCAGACCAATTATGGGGATAGTTTAGGGTGGTTGTTCCGCGACCTGGGAACTGGTTACAGAATGGTCGTCATGCTCGAAATGTTTGGCGGGGGCTCGCCTAATCGTTACACTTCTCGCATTGGCCACAGCCAGCCATCAGGTCGGATTTTGGGCTTGCTTGAAAAAATCCGTTTCTCCGTTCGGAAGTGATTTTTTCAACCACCTGTTTCCGACCCAGCACACCGCCAAACCAGGGTTGACATTGAAGACCAGTCGAGCGGTGACCTGGGCTTTCCAGCACAGCAGATACATCCAATTGTACTTCTTCCTCGTGCGCGGTCCGCTGCCAGCGCAGCCAGTTCGTGCGCTGAAGTTGCTAGCATCGAACGAGATCGACGGTCATCTGCAAAATTGCGTGGTCCCCAATCTGTCCCCAAACCATTCTGTCCCAGATCAGACACGAATCCGTCTCGAAACTATCTTGAAAGACACTTCGGAGATATTTTTGTCCGTTGGCAATTTTACTCTACATTCTAACATGTCCCAGAAATGACTTGTGCGAAAATTTGTCCCGGCCAAGAAGTGAATGTCTCCTGGGAGGTTTGGACTGCAATGCGATCAGAGGACTCAGGTTCGATTCTCGACGATGTAAGTTCCATTTTTTCGGTTGTAACACTTGTATGTGTTTTCGCAATTTCGGAAATAGGTAGACAGCCGAGATTCGATCTCCAGACCCATCGATCCAACCGGACAGACCAACACCACTGCGCTCTAGTTTACTGACAAATAAAAGATTTACATTTATTAATTCGCTTCAAACAGATCAGCTCTATCCATTGAAACAAAATCTCGCGCCACGTGGCACCTGGCCAGCAGTGCCGAAATCGTCCACGTGCACAGAAAAAAAACCCGTCACTGTCAAAGGCCCACCACACAATTGAAAGATTCAACTACCTGTGAGCTCCACTTCTTGGTGTAAACCCCATCGCGATCACCGCAACGAAACTACTATAACCCATCCATACCGCAAAACAATCCAAACATGTTGCTAGAAGAAGGCGTTTTACGCTCGTCCCCTTTTGTTTCTTCACTTAGTTAATAGTTGCTCTGCTCTTGTATCTGCCAGTAGCTAGACTCGACTTGTGAATTCTGTTCAACTCTTAGAGTAACATTTATGCCCTTTAATCACTATATTGCGCGGCAGTTCTCGTTTGTCATTTATTAAGCTCTTGCTCTAACTCGTCTATCGTAGCCAGAACCATGATTTTGACGATTTTTTTTCCAGTTTCTTTGACATTTCTCTTATCCCGCGTCACCGCTTACATCCCTTACTATGTTAATGCGTCACATTTCAAACTGGTATTTCCATCCCGTTATCCTTTTTCCCGTGGCCTTGAATCAGGATAGCAAATGACATCTTGTCAATGACGTTGGAAATGAATCGTGGCGTTTTGTACGCCTCAAAATCGTCAATCATCTACTTGTAGGTTTCTTGCAATTTCGTTTTCTTGAACGTTTTCTATTTTAATTTAAAAGAAATCTTGTTTGGTGTGTCAACGTTGTTGTGTGATTGTAAGTTATGTCTGAACAGAATTCATTGTAAGGAGATGTCAATGTTTTCGTTGACGGTAAGTTGTGAGACCTGTTTTGGAGCCTTATTTTCTAACCTCAATGACTAACAAATGATTTTTTTTTCCAGCATACTATATGCCTGTACTACGGTTCAATCTATTATTATTGGATCAATTCATTCTTGATATTGTCTTCTAACTACAACTTCGTCGCTTTAATGGTAATACTTATAAATTCAGTCTGCACATGGAGTATGACTCAAGTGAAGCCATTACGTATATGTTGCTGTGGTTTTGTGTTATGCCAGATAATTTATCTGAGCCTTTTGGATTTTGGAAGTTGTGGTAATCTGTATACGTCATGGTGCAAAAAATATAAGCATTTGCGTTTTTAGTGTTTTCATTGTATATACATTGTAATGAATTGTATCAAATACGATGGGCTTTAAGGCCAAATGCAAGTGGTGAAGTTGCAATGCAAGCTAACCCAGAATTGACCTACGTGGGTCTCGAAACCCTCCCGACACTCTCCCGCAACTGTCCTGAAACTGTCCCCGAAATCTCTTTGGGGACATTGCTGGAGACTGTTTCGGGGCACATTTGACTTGGTCCCGAAAGTGTCTTTGGGGACACTTTCTCAAGTGTCCCGAATCTGTTCCAAAAGACTCCCGCGGGAGAGTTTTGGGACATTACATTTTGGAGATGGTTGTCGAAATACCAGCACTTAGAAGACCTTCTTGAAACCGTCCCTGGCGAGAAATGTTGGGCAGCTCTCCCAGCCGAATGCATGTTTTCCGCAGAATCGTACTGGGTGAGGCACTCAGAGCCATAGATCGCACCGCACAACATTCTCACTCCCACTTTACTTGCCTCCCTCTTCCCAATCACTTTGACATTGAAGTTCCCTTTCCCACTCAGGTTCTCTCATCTCAAATCCTTCTCATTGCCATCTCTCCTGGAGATTCAAAACTGCCCATCATTCACACCCGCTTCAACAGAAACCATTGAGGTTGCATCGATTTTAACAAGTTGTTATCATCTCCAAGCGCGCATCGAGATTCTCAGATTGGACGGAGCAGCGGAAGCAATTAGAACCGCAAATTTGCGGACTCGGTCACAGCCATGGCGAGAAACGACAGCGCAGCGCCAAAAAGGCTACTCGGGGGCACGACTATAATTATCCTCCTCGCCCTCCTCCTTCACGATCCCACCGGGTTGAGGACCGGCACACGCGGCGCCGGACACTACTTCGTCGCAGAAGCGATTCCCTACATCGAAAAATCGCAACGTAAGTGAGAGGCTCTGGTCGCAGCCGTCGCGGCATCGCGGCGCCATGCCATCCGGCGAGATTTAAAAGGAAGCTATTGGCTGACAGACGACCTGGAAGGTGGATGACGTGACCCAATACTCTCAGCTCTCCCTCCTCCTTAAACTATGGGTTTAGGGTTTCATCATTCTCATGTGCTTTTCTCGTCCCTCTCCAAAGCTGCTGCGTGATGCGAACCCCTCTTCTCCTTGCTGTACTTTTCCTTCCGGGAGGCGGGGCCTCTTTCGATAGTAGGTCTACTATCACTCCACTGTGCTGCTCCCTTTGTACTACTTTTGGTGATGTGAGCTCAACACTGCTACTACTTATCATCGCTGCGTGATGCGCACATCTCTCCTCCCCGATGTCCTCCCCCCGTTATGCTAACGCATCCCGATGTGTTGCTCCCTTTCCTCCCCTATCTGAGCGCTACTATCATCGCTGCGTGATGTGCACATCTCTCCCTCCCGCTGTCCTCCGAGAGGAGTCCTCTCCCCGCTATGCTAACTCATCCCACAGTGCTGCTAGCTTTCCCCTCTCTACACTACGCGGGACGTGAGCCACCGCCACCACCGAAGGGCGAATGCGCCTTCTTGTTTGTTCAAACGTGTCCTCCCTCGGCCTCTTCCCCCCTCTCTCTAACCCTCCCTCTTTCCCCTCTACTCTCAAGGAGCTATGGATTTTGTGGGCCATCGACATCAATATCGTTGGTCAATGTGTGGAGCATAATCTCTCTTCTCTTCCCCTTCTCGCCGCAGTGCCGCCTCTCAAGGAGCTGTCCAAGGTTTGGGGAATCGATATCGTCAACGGTGGGGACTGTGCGGACTAATATAACTACCAGGTGGTGCGCGAGTGCGACAAGGAGGGCTTCGTCGTCTCCATCACGTACGAGCCTTTGCCCCTGTGCCCTTTGTGAAAATGATGTTGTGATGTCGATGGTTGTGCGCGAGTGGGACAAGGAGGGCTTCATTCAGCTGCTGCTGTCGCGCCTTGCTGCTGGTTATCCAGTTATCCTCCTCATCCCTTGTGCCATCAAGTCCTTCATTTCCCTCTCCTTCCGCTCTCTCCTTCTGCTCTCCTCTTCCTCCGCCCTCTCACTTCGCCCTCACTTCGCCCTCTCACTTCGCCCTCACTTCGCCCTCACTTCGCCCTCTCACTTCGCCCTCACTTCGCCCTCTCACTTCGCCCTCTCACTTCGCCCTCTCACTTCGCCCTCTCACTTCGCCCTCTCACTTCGCCCTCTCACTTCGCCCTCTCACTTCGCCCTCTCGCTCTGCCCTCCCGCTCTGCCCTCTCGCTCCGCCCCTCTCGCTCCGCCCTCTCGCCATGCACCGCATGAGTCCAACGTCCATCAGCTCCCAACATGGCTTCGAAAGATTCTAGACGTCATCCCTTGTGAAGCAAACTCCTTTTCCTTCTCCCCCTCCCCCCCCCCCGCCCCCCCCTCCCCTCCCCCACCCCCCACCTGCACCACACCAGTCCAGCGTCCATCAGCTCCCAACAGGGCTTCGACACCATTCCCGACGTCATCACCCAACTCACACGTCTCACCTCCCTGTGAGCCTTTCACCTCCCTGTGAGCCTTTCACTTCCCTGTGAGCCTTTCACTTCCCTGTGAGCCTTTCACTTCCCTGTGAGCCTTTCACTTCCCTGTGAGCCTTTCACTTCCCTGTGAGCCTTTCACTTCCCTGTGAGCCTTTCACCTCCCTGTGAGCCTTTCACTTCCCTGTGAGCCTTTCACTTCCCTGTGAGCCTTTCACCTCCCTGTGAGCCTTTCACTTCCCTGTGAGCCTTTCACTTCCCTGTGAGCCTTTCACTTCCCTGTGAGCCTTTCACTTCCCTGTGAGCCTTTCACTTCCCTGTGAGCCTTTCACCTCCCTGTGAGCCTTTCACTTCCCTGTGAGCCTTTCACTTCCCTGTGAGCCTTTCACTTCCCTGTGAGCCTTTCACTTCCCTGTGAGCCTTTCACTTCCCTGTGAGCCTTTCACTTCCCTGTGAGCCTTTCACCTCCCTGTGAGCCTTTCACTTCCCTGTGAGCCTTTCACTTCCCTGTGAGCCTTTCACCTCCCTGTGAGCCTTTCACTTCCCTGTGAGCCTTTCACTTCCCTGTGAGCCTTTCACTTCCCTGTGAGCCTTTCACTTCCCTGTGAGCCTTTCACTTCCCTGTGAGCCTTTCACCTCCCTGTGAGCCTTTCACTTCCCTGTGAGCCTTTCACTTCCCTGTGAGCCTTTCACTTCCCTGTGAGCCTTTCACTTCCCTGTGAGCCTTTCACTTCCCTGTGAGCCTTTCACCTCCCTGTGAGCCTTTCACTTCCCTGTGAGCCTTTCACTTCCCTGTGAGCCTTTCACCTCCCTGTGAGCCTTTCACTTCCCTGTGAGCCTTTCACTTCCCTGTGAGCCTTTCACTTCCCTGTGAGCCTTTCACTTCCCTGTGAGCCTTTCACTTCCCTGTGAGCCTTTCACCTCCCTGTGAGCCTTTCACTTCCCTGTGAGCCTTTCACTTCCCTGTGAGCCTTTCACTTCCCTGTGAGCCTTTCACTTCCCTGTGAGCCTTTCACTTCCCTGTGAGCCTTTCACTTCCCTGTGAGCCTTTCACCTCCCTGTGAGCCTTTCACTTCCCTGTGAGCCTTTCACTTCCCTGTGAGCCTTTCACCTCCCTGTGAGCCTTTCACTTCCCTGTGAGCCTTTCACTTCCCTGTGAGCCTTTCACTTCCCTGTGAGCCTTTCACTTCCCTGTGAGCCTTTCACTTCCCTGTGAGCCTTTCACCTCCCTGTGAGCCTTTCACTTCCCTGTGAGCCTTTCACTTCCCTGTGAGCCTTTCACTTCCCTGTGAGCCTTTCACTTCCCTGTGAGCCTTTCACTTCCCTGTGAGCCTTTCACCTCCCTGTGAGCCTTTCACTTCCCTGTGAGCCTTTCACTTCCCTGTGAGCCTTTCACCTCCCTGTGAGCCTTTCACTTCCCTGTGAGCCTTTCACTTCCCTGTGAGCCTTTCACTTCCCTGTGAGCCTTTCACTTCCCTGTGAGCCTTTCACTTCCCTGTGAGCCTTTCACCTCCCTGTGAGCCTTTCACTTCCCTGTGAGCCTTTCACTTCCCTGTGAGCCTTTCACTTCCCTGTGAGCCTTTCACTTCCCTGTGAGCCTTTCACTTCCCTGTGAGCCTTTCACTTCCCTGTGAGCCTTTCACCTCCCTGTGAGCCTTTCACTTCCCTGTGAGCCTTTCACTTCCCTGTGAGCCTTTCACCTCCCTGTGAGCCTTTCACTTCCCTGTGAGCCTTTCACTTCCCTGTGAGCCTTTCACTTCCCTGTGAGCCTTTCACTTCCCTGTGAGCCTTTCACTTCCCTGTGAGCCTTTCACCTCCCTGTGAGCCTTTCACTTCCCTGTGAGCCTTTCACTTCCCTGTGAGCCTTTCACTTCCCTGTGAGCCTTTCACTTCCCTGTGAGCCTTTCACCTCCCTGTGAGCCTTTCACCTCCCTGTGAGCCTTTCACTTCCCTGTGAGCCTTTCACTTCCCTGTGAGCCTTTCACCTCCCTGTGAGCCTTTCACTTCCCTGTGAGCCTTTCACTTCCCTGTGAGCCTTTCACTTCCCTGTGAGCCTTTCACTTCCCTGTGAGCCTTTCACTTCCCTGTGAGCCTTTCACCTCCCTGTGAGCCTTTCACTTCCCTGTGAGCCTTTCACTTCCCTGTGAGCCTTTCACTTCCCTGTGAGCCTTTCACTTCCCTGTGAGCCTTTCACTTCCCTGTGAGCCTTTCACTTCCCTGTGAGCCTTTCACCTCCCTGTGAGCCTTTCACTTCCCTGTGAGCCTTTCACTTCCCTGTGAGCCTTTCACCTCCCTGTGAGCCTTTCACTTCCCTGTGAGCCTTTCACTTCCCTGTGAGCCTTTCACTTCCCTGTGAGCCTTTCACTTCCCTGTGAGCCTTTCACTTCCCTGTGAGCCTTTCACCTCCCTGTGAGCCTTTCACTTCCCTGTGAGCCTTTCACTTCCCTGTGAGCCTTTCACTTCCCTGTGAGCCTTTCACTTCCCTGTGAGCCTTTCACTTCCCTGTGAGCCTTTCACCTCCCTGTGAGCCTTTCACTTCCCTGTGAGCCTTTCACTTCCCTGTGAGCCTTTCACCTCCCTGTGAGCCTTTCACTTCCCTGTGAGCCTTTCACTTCCCTGTGAGCCTTTCACTTCCCTGTGAGCCTTTCACTTCCCTGTGAGCCTTTCACTTCCCTGTGAGCCTTTCACTTCCCTGTGAGCCTTTCACTTCCCTGTGAGCCTTTCACTTCCCTGTGAGCCTTTCACCTCCCTGTGAGCCTTTCACTTCCCTGTGAGCCTTTCACTTCCCTGTGAGCCTTTCACCTCCCTGTGAGCCTTTCACTTCCCTGTGAGCCTTTCACTTCCCTGTGAGCCTTTCACTTCCCTGTGAGCCTTTCACCTCCCTGTGAGCCTTTCACCTCCCTGTGAGCCTTTCACTTCCCTGTGAGCCTTTCACTTCCCTGTGAGCCTTTCACTTCCCTGTGAGCCTTTCACTTCCCTGTGAGCCTTTCACTTCCCTGTGAGCCTTTCACTTCCCTGTGAGCCTTTCACCTCCCTGTGAGCCTTTCACTTCCCTGTGAGCCTTTCACTTCCCTGTGAGCCTTTCACTTCCCTGTGAGCCTTTCACCTCCCTGTGAGCCTTTCACTTCCCTGTGAGCCTTTCACTTCCCTGTGAGCCTTTCACTTCCCTGTGAGCCTTTCACTTCCCTGTGAGCCTTTCACTTCCCTGTGAGCCTTTCACTTCCCTGTGAGCCTTTCACTTCCCTGTGAGCCTTTCACTTCCCTGTGAGCCTTTCACTTCCCTGTGAGCCTTTCACTTCCCTGTGAGCCTTTCACTTCCCTGTGAGCCTTTCACTTCCCTGTGAGCCTTTCACTTCCCTGTGAGCCTTTCACTTCCCTGTGAGCCTTTCACTTCCCTGTGAGCCTTTCACCTCCCTGTGAGCCTTTCACTTCCCTGTGAGCCTTTCACTTCCCTGTGAGCCTTTCACTTCCCTGTGAGCCTTTCACTTCCCTGTGAGCCTTTCACTTCCCTGTGAGCCTTTCACCTCCCTGTGAGCCTTTCACTTCCCTGTGAGCCTTTCACTTCCCTGTGAGCCTTTCACTTCCCTGTGAGCCTTTCACTTCCCTGTGAGCCTTTCACTTCCCTGTGAGCCTTTCACCTCCCTGTGAGCCTTTCACTTCCCTGTGAGCCTTTCACTTCCCTGTGAGCCTTTCACCTCCCTGTGAGCCTTTCACTTCCCTGTGAGCCTTTCACTTCCCTGTGAGCCTTTCACTTCCCTGTGAGCCTTTCACTTCCCTGTGAGCCTTTCACTTCCCTGTGAGCCTTTCACCTCCCTGTGAGCCTTTCACTTCCCTGTGAGCCTTTCACTTCCCTGTGAGCCTTTCACTTCCCTGTGAGCCTTTCACTTCCCTGTGAGCCTTTCACTTCCCTGTGAGCCTTTCACTTCCCTGTGAGCCTTTCACTTCCCTGTGAGCCTTTCACTTCCCTGTGAGCCTTTCACTTCCCTGTGAGCCTTTCACCTCCCTGTGAGCCTTTCACTTCCCTGTGAGCCTTTCACTTCCCTGTGAGCCTTTCACTTCCCTGTGAGCCTTTCACTTCCCTGTGAGCCTTTCACTTCCCTGTGAGCCTTTCACCTCCCTGTGAGCCTTTCACTTCCCTGTGAGCCTTTCACTTCCCTGTGAGCCTTTCACTTCCCTGTGAGCCTTTCACTTCCCTGTGAGCCTTTCACTTCCCTGTGAGCCTTTCACCTCCCTGTGAGCCTTTCACTTCCCTGTGAGCCTTTCACTTCCCTGTGAGCCTTTCACCTCCCTGTGAGCCTTTCACTTCCCTGTGAGCCTTTCACTTCCCTGTGAGCCTTTCACTTCCCTGTGAGCCTTTCACTTCCCTGTGAGCCTTTCACTTCCCTGTGAGCCTTTCACTTCCCTGTGAGCCTTTCACTTCCCTGTGAGCCTTTCACTTCCCTGTGAGCCTTTCACTTCCCTGTGAGCCTTTCACTTCCCTGTGAGCCTTTCACTTCCCTGTGAGCCTTTCACTTCCCTGTGAGCCTTTCACTTCCCTGTGAGCCTTTCACTTCCCTGTGAGCCTTTCACTTCCCTGTGAGCCTTTCACCTCCCTGTGAGCCTTTCACTTCCCTGTGAGCCTTTCACCTCCCTGTGAGCCTTTCACTTCCCTGTGAGCCTTTCACTTCCCTGTGAGCCTTTCACCTCCCTGTGAGCCTTTCACTTCCCTGTGAGCCTTTCACTTCCCTGTGAGCCTTTCACTTCCCTGTGAGCCTTTCACTTCCCTGTGAGCCTTTCACTTCCCTGTGAGCCTTTCACTTCCCTGTGAGCCTTTCACTTCCCTGTGAGCCTTTCACTTCCCTGTGAGCCTTTCACTTCCCTGTGAGCCTTTCACTTCCCTGTGAGCCTTTCACTTCCCTGTGAGCCTTTCACTTCCCTGTGAGCCTTTCACTTCCCTGTGAGCCTTTCACTTCCCTGTGAGCCTTTCACTTCCCTGTGAGCCTTTCACTTCCCTGTGAGCCTTTCACTTCCCTGTG